TAGTGGCTGGGGATGTGGCTGTTCTTGGGCGAGTCGTAGTGGCCGGGGGGCACCGCGACGCCCTCCGCGCCCCCGGGGCCCGGCCCTGCAGGGGGAGAGACGGGGGGTCAGCACCGGGGGCCCCGATCCCTGCTCCACCTGGCTTGCCCCCGCGCTGGAAAGGGGTGGGGGTCCAGGCTGTACCGTGGGGCTGCGACGTGTCCGGCGCCGGCTCCGAGCCCCCGATCTCGGTGTAGGACATCTCGCGGCACGCGGGCGACTTCATCTCCATGTAGCTGCCCTCGGGCGCCTTGGCCAGCAGCACCGGCAGGTCCTTGATGGTGGCGTAGGGGTTCTCGCTGCCCAGCGAGCTGTCGCTGCCCCGCGATGCCTCCCGCACGCAATCTGGGGGCACACGGGATGGCTTGATCTGGGCCAGGTTTCTGGCTTGCAGGGGGGACAGGGGCTTGCGACCCCCACTCCCTGCCCAGCGCCAAGGGGGTTTGGGCGCCCCCGGACCGGTACCTTTGCTGTAGAAGTGCCGCAGGCCGTTGCTGTAGCTGTAGCTGTAGCTGCGATCCATGGGGCTGCCCCCTGCAAGGGAAAGAAAGAGAGGGGCTGCGGGTGCGTAGGCACCCCAGGACTGGGAGGGGAACCCAGGCGCCTGGGCACCTTGCTCCATGCACTAGCCCCCTGCTTCCCTCCACAGCCAGGAGAGGAGCCCAGGTGTCCAGGCCCCATGCCCTAGCCTGCTCCCAGCCCTGGGAGAGGAATGCAGACGTCCGAGTCTACCTGCTACACCTCGCTCTGCCCCCCTCCAGCGCTGAGCAAAGACCCCAGCAGTCCTGAGCTAACCCCTGGGTCGCACTGCCTTGCAGCAGGACGGCCTGATCCAGCCAGGCTTACCCCGGTCCCAGGGGCTCAGCGCCGGCGTGTGATGCTTCCAGTCTGCTGGCAGTGTGGCGTTGCCCTCGGGGCCGTAGCCTGCCGGGCCCTCGCGCTCCTTCATGCTGGAGAACATCTGGGGCCCGGGCACCTGTCGCCGAGATGGCAGCCGGGATCAGCAGGCCCCGAGGCTGCCAGGTTCCCCAGGGCAGTGCCGTGACCAGCGCCAGGCCTTACCTTGAGGGAGCTGGCCCGGTCCTGGGTGCCGGGAGGCGGGGGCGTGCGGGTGCACTGCGACAGCGTGTGGTAGCTGGGGTTGGAGTAGTAGTGGGTGTAGCTGGGCGGTACATCTGCATCATGGGGAGAGACGGGTCATCCCCATCCCACAGCTCTAACCACTAACCCTCCCTCCCCCCCAGAGCAGGGGGTGAGCCCAGGCATCCAGGCTCCAGGCCCCAGTCCAGGCCGTGCCATGGGGACGGCTGCCCCAGCCTCACCTGGTACGACATATTCGGAGCTGCCAGGCCGGCCCACGGTGTAGGCCGCGGCCAGGGGCCGGACCTCCTTGCCCTTCTGCCAGTGCCGGTAGTAGAGGAAGAGTGTGGCCAGCACCAGCAGCAGGGTGGCCAGGACCACGATGCCGATGATGGCGCCCAAGGAGCTGTAGCCCGCTGGAGGCGTGGGCTCCACCGTGAGCGGGTGCTCAGGGTCCACTGGGCACCGGCGAAAGACAGGAGCCGTGAGTCCCGGCTCCCACCCTTCCCCATCTCCAGCCGCTGCCCCTATTCCCCTGCCACAGCCAGGCAGAAAACCCAGGCATCTGGGCACTACTCACGCATCTCGCAGCGGGGGCCGGTCCAGCCTGGCATGCACTGGCAATGCCCGGTAGCGGGCTCGCAGGTGCCATTGTGGAGACAGTCGCAGGCCTGGACACACTGGAGCCCAAAGGTGCCAGCTGGACATGCTGGGGGGACAGAAGCGGGGACTCGGTGGGTGGCTGGGGGGCAGTGGGGTGGGGGCTGCAGGTGGGAGCTTGGACCTCACAGCCCCAACCCCTGCTGCCGAGAGAGTAGGGGGGAGCTCAGGGGTCCCGTGCTTCCCTGGCTCTGACCCCTAGGCCCCGCTCCCCTGCTAGAGCCAAGGAGAGAGCCCAGGAGGCTGGACCCCACTCCTCCCCTGACCTGGGAGAGAGACCCCAGGCATTCAGGTGTCTCTCAGCACCGTCCGTCCCCCATGAGGATAAGGGCCCTACTGCTGCTACCAGCAGGTAGGGTTCCCGCCAGGGCCCCCGCGGGGGCCAAGATCGTGGGGGGCTGGAGCCTGGGGCTGTTGCCAGGGGACTCACGCTGGGAGCAGTTGGCGCCGGTCCATCCGGGGAAACAGATGCAGGTGCCATCCACAGGCTGGCAGATGGAGTGGTTGGAGCACCGGCAGGGTACTGCGCACTTCTTTCCGTAGCGCCCAGGCGGGCAGGCTGAGACATGAGGCAGGCAGCTGTCACGAGCTGGCCAGGTCTCAGCTCAAGCAACCCACCCCACCCAAGTGCCCCATAGATCTCCCCTGATGGGACCCCAGCCCCGGCACTCACGGCGCTGGCAGGCAGGGCCGCGGTAGCCAGGCGTGCAGCTGCAGGCGCCGTCATCAGGGGCGCAGGTGGCTCCATTCTTGCAGGCACAGGGCAGGCTGCAGTTCTGGCCCCACCACCCATCGGGGCAGCCCAGGCTGCAGCGGGGCCCTGCAGACAAACCACCATGGATGGAGGTTCAGTGGGGTCCTCGCCCCCCCACTATGCCCTGCAACCCCCCAACCCATCCCAGCGCCCCTCACCTGTCCACCCCGGCAGGCAGTGGCACTGCCCCGTGGTGGCATCGCAACCATTGGCGTGGACACAGTCACACTTCTGGCTGCAGCCAGGGCCATACGTGCCCATCTGGTGGGGGAGAGACAGATACATGCAGAGCAGCTGAGACCCCGGCACCCCTGACCCCAGGTGCACAACCGCTGTTGGGTCCCATGGTCACAAGTAGACCCCCGTGGCACAGATGGATCGATGTGCCCAGCGACTCAGACACAACCGAGAGGACTCACTGGGCATGGGTCCTGGCAGCGGGCGCCACGCCAGCCGGCCACGCAGAAGCAGGCGCCACTGACGGGGCTGCAGCGGCTGCCGTGGGCGCACTGGCAGGTGTTGTTGCAACCAGAGCCCCAGGTGCCTGTGGGGCAGGGGCTGGAGCAGGCCACTCCATGCCAGCCTGCAAGGGGGGCAGGAGCAGAGGTCAGGCATGGGGCCAGGGGCAAATGCCCATCTGGCCCCACCTGCACATCTGGCCCCTTCCAGGCACAGCTGGGAGGGGCTGGAGCAGGGGCGGGGGGTCACACCTTCCTTGCAGAGGCAGGAGCCATCCAGTGGGGAGCAGGCAAAGGCATGCTGGCAGGTGCAGGTGTGGGCGCAGCCCTCCCCGAAGGTGCCAGGTGCGCAGGGCTGCTCACAGTGTTCGCCCTACGGGGATGGGCAGGGGTTACAGGTTACACCCCCTCAGCCTGGGCTGCATCGACCACCAATTCCCCCCTGCTCTGATCACTGTGCTGCACTGCCCTCCCACCCCCAGGAAAGAATCCAGGTGTCCTCACCAGGCCCCCCTCTGCTATAACCACTCAGCCATACTCTCCACTGCCCATACTCTCCTTCCCCAGAGCTGAAGAAAGAACCCAGGAGTCCTGCTGCCCCCCCCCCCTCCAACCACTGCACCCTACTCCCCTCCTACTGCTGGGGAAAGAACCCAGGTATCTGGCCCCACAGCCCGAAGCCCACCCCCGAGACCCACCGTGTAGCCAGGGGTGCAGTGGCAGTGCCCCGTCA